TCTAAGACCGACACCTACAACTACAGACCTATAGCTCTGCTTTCTGTTTTAAGTAAGGTGATGGAGAGGTGCATAAATCGCGAGCTTCTGGACTACCTGGAACGTCACGGCTTGACTAGCGACAGGCAGCATGGTTTCCGGCACAAACGATCCACAGAGGACCTCCTAGCTTACGTCATTCAATTGTGGAGTAAACCCATCCAGTCTTATGGTGAGGCTCATGTCGTTGCTCTTGACGAAAGCGTTCGGTCAGCTGTGGCACGCTGCGCTCTTAACCAAACTGCCATCCTATGGCCTACCAGAAAAGCTTTGCAGATGGATGGCTGACTTTATCTCTGGCCGCAAGATATCCGTCGTAATTGACGGATTCTCCTCTTCATCCCACAACGTCAACGCGGGTGTTCCCCAGGGATCAGTCTTGGATCCGACACTGTTTCTCTTACATATCAACGACATCCTTTCCTGCACGATCAACCCAATCCACAGCTTCGCTGATGACAGTACTCTACATGCAGCAATTCAGAGTGACAAGCCGATCTCTGCCGCTGAAAAAGAAGACTAGCGATGACTTCCTCTCTGACAAGAGACCTGGAGGCTATCACTGCTTGGGGACGCAACAATCTTGTACAGTTCAATGCTTCTAAAACACAGTACGGTTCTTTGACGAACAAAAAGCGTCCCTGCGCTCAACCGGTTTCGATGGATGGTCGAGTTTTGCCAAAGAGCCATTCATTTTGGCTGATCGGAGTCCAGATCACCGAGGACCTGATCTGCCATGAACACATATCGTCAATAGCTACAGAAAAAATAGCTGGAAAAAAGCTAGGCTATTTGTTTAGGGCTAAGAAGTACTTTTCTCCGCATGACCTTCTCACTCTATACAAGGCCCAGACAAGGCCTAGCCGAGTATTGCTCGCACGTTTGGGGTGCTGCCGCCCCGACTACATTATCCATGCTCGATGCTGTCCAGAGGAGGACGGTCCGACTGATCGATGACTCTTCTCTAACAGGCAGTCTCGGGACTCTTTCGCACCGGCGGGCTGTCAGCGATCTGGCTCTTTTCTACCGTTACACCAACGGGCTTTGCTCCTCAGAGCTCTCATCCATGATGCCGTCGCGCGCGAAGTGCCTGCCAGACAGACCTGCCTAACTTTGGCGTCCCATCCTAACCGTGTCGAACTTCGTACATCCATAACCGGCCGATACGACTGCTCCTTTGTCCCGAGGGTGTCGAGATTGTGGAACAATCTACAAGAAAAAGCTTTTTCCAGTTCCATTAACCTTAGGCAGTTCAAAAATCGTATTGATAAAATTTCTTTGGGATCATCATAGCAGCCGCGGTGTTCCGGCATTTAGGCTTCTGCCTGCGCGGCTGCTTCGATATATATAAAAACAAGTAAAGCGAAATCTGCAGATAAAATCCTTGTCTGCTGCGCAATTCCTAACAGGAGTGTATCCCAACCTTATGTGGGAAGAGTCAGGGGTGAAGCTTTGAATAGTCAAAGCTATATTGATAGCTGCTTTTCCAAATTGCTTCAGTTTGTCCACGGACATCATGCTAATGACCATATCGTGGTTTGGCCAGACCGAGTATCATGCCAAAACTCAAGAGACATCCAAAACTAGCTTCGACAACACAACAGAACTTCTGTTCCCAAAACCAATAATCCCCCAAACTTGTCGCAGGCTCGCCCATTAGAGGATTTTTGGGCTTTACTGTCTAGGAAGGTTTATCACGGAGGCTGGGAAGCCCAAGATCAGGAAGACGGCGAATTTACGAAAACTGAGAGAAATTGATCTGAATTCCGTCCAGGACATGATAAACATTCGAAGGTAGAGGTGTCTAGTAGAACAGAATGGGCCACTCCACATAATTCGATAGTATAATTTAGTTAAGTATTGAGTTGTAATTTATGATGAACTAGTTAGTGTTTAAATAAATTTCTTCGTTACATAAACTAAAGATAGGACATCATCAAAAAATCTGTTGCTGAATTTGTGTCTGGTTTTTATTGGGTTTCATTATTTAATCGTGTATATAAATCAGAAAACAGACTATATTGTTAAGATTTATATCCATTTGCATTAAATTAGCTAATTATTATTGGTCAAAATGATGGCATTATTAAGGAATCGAAAATTCTTATTTCATATTTGCGCTGTAATTTCAAGTATAATAACTATTATTTTATTTTGAAGTATTCAAATATGGAAGCTAGTATCGTAAACATCATTCTGATTCTTTTGAGTGCGTGTCTAATAAAATAACAGCTCTTTGCGCCCTCTGTTGTGTTCTGTGTACACCAACTATTACATTCATTCCCATCATTTTTTACATACGCAAAACCGATGATATTTGCTGAAAATGTCTAGAAAAACGAAATTTCTCTTGAGAAACGTTCACAAATACTTATTTTAAGAAAAGTGGGTAAAACAATTCGTGAAATTGCAAATATTGTTGGTGTTTCGAAGTGTGGAGTGGAAACCACATTGAAGCGGTGTGCTGAAGCCAACTCAAATTTTAATCCCAAACGCTCTGGCCGACCAAAGAAAAACAACCCAAGCTGATGATGACACATTTTATTGATGAGTAAAACAAAATCGGTTCAAAACTGCACCAGACAATCGTGTCGAAATCAACAAAACCCTGACTAACCCAATTTCGTCTGTCAGAGAAGGGTTATTTTCTACGACCACAAAACAAGCGGAAAAGATTATTGTTTGCTCGAAAATATTAAGATTGAGCACTTAATCAGTGGAAGTCTGTGTTATGGACCGACGAATCAATGTTCGAGATTTTTGGATCTAGGCGACGCCAGTATGTTCGTCGAAATAAAGATAAGCGTTATAATCTCCAATGTATTTATTACTCCAACTGTTAAACATGGCGGAGGCTCGATGATGGTCTAGAGGTGTTTCAGCTACGATGGTGTTGGAAAACGAGTCAAGGTCGAATGTATAATGCGGAAGTGCCATTCCATCTGGCATTGGTTTGATCGGCAACAGATTGATCTTTCAGCAAGGCGATGATCCCAAACACACCTCCCATCTCTGCACGAACAATCTACAGTCCAAGGAAGAGGAAGGTGTGCTCAAAATCATGGATTGGCCGCTGCAATCCCCTGACGTGAACCCGATCGAATTATTATGGGATGATCTCGACCAGTGGAAAACAGATGCTCTACAGTCTGACAGTGGCTTGGTAGAATATCGCAACTGAAACACTTCAAAAATTGGCCAGAAGGCTTCCAAAATAGTCGCTGCAATCATCAAAGCACGAGGTGGGCACATTGATGAAAAAACCTAATTTGACTCGTTATTTTTAAACATTTTCATGAGATATTTGGATGTAATAAACATAGATAATGACAAAATAGTCTTTTTTTTAGTCTATATACAATATTCGATCACAAAATGATGTTTAAGACACGAAACATCAATCAAAAACTCAACAAATTGATTCATACGTATACATACGAGCAGTAGTCATTGACATTGCCAACGACCAGTTGGGCAAGAAATGCAACTCATTATTAATTGGGAAATTGACAAAATTTTTTTACGCTTTAGTAAACTCGAGCTTTCGGTCCTCTATGGAACCATCATCAGTAGCTGAAACACAAATAGGAAGCTAGCAAATAATGCGGAAAGGATTTATATTTTCAGACTACTTACTAGTAGCTGAGGTTGCAGCCAAATCGTGTTTCAAGCGAAAGCGTGGATGAGAGCACTTGTTGCAAATATAAAACCAAACAGACGGACATAATGGGTTTTTTGATAACTACGGAAAACCATAGTTTAGGTATTAACACTATATATCAATACACCCAAACACATTAAGTATTATCGAACTGCAATTTTTGTGGAAAAAACCCACTTCTAACCTCTTAGATCTGTTTCGCGTAGGGAAAATGTCGCGGAGAAACATGGACATGTCGTCGCCCTAATAAGAAAACTGCCTAAGTCCAGTTCAGCAAATTTTACAGGAGAGACAAAAAACTATTTGTAGAAATAATTTACCATAAGGATATTGATTTTATGCACCTAACCATTTTGCAATGGTATAATTAGTAGGCTAGCAATCCGTTTTTCATTACATTTATTATTTTTCACACTCAACGTGGAGTTAGGCCAATATCTGCTTAATATTTGATAATAAGAGAGGAGATAGGCAAATTTATATTATTCCAGAAATACACGAAAGAAACTTGAAAAAATCAATTTTTATTTATTTAAAAATCAAAATAAAACATTTCTTTATTATAAAAAATATAAGACCAGCAAGAACATTGCACAAATAAGAATGAGATCCACAACAATGGCAAAATGAAAATGAAATAAGTAATTCTAACTCACAAGAACGCTAAACATTGTCATGCATGAGGTAGGTTGAGATAAAAATTATGATACTCTTTATCTATGCCTTTCATGAGTACCATGAGGTGTTGGTATTTTTCTTTTTTAATTTTCAATCTCCTCTCATACAGCCTAGGTAAGGTACCATAATTAATGTCGTTGGGAATAGATTTCACAACCCTTCTGGGGAGATCACTCCAAAGATTCTTTGAGTGTCGCAATTTAAATTGAATTGAGCCATCTTCATATTTTAAAGATTTGATATCAACTACCATTGGGTCGCCCGCAGTTTTGCCTGGTCGAATAGAGCTGTAGTATTGGACAATTGAAAAGTTTTTGAAGAAATCATGAGTCAAATAATTGACATTGTATGGAAATGGATTGCTTCGTGCTCTTAGACATATTTCAATATAATCTGCTGGTAAATTTATCTTTACTTTTCTTACTATTCTTTCTATAGCTGAATGAACAGAGTCTACCTCCATTTGCGTGTGACCCTTTAAAAGATATTTTTGCAAAATTATCACTTTGTGCAATGTCGCAACGTGTAGGAGTGCATTGCTTAGAGTTACGTTACGGTTCTGACCTGTGCAACCATCGCTGTAAATAATAATCTTTTTGGAACGATCCAGTGTGGGAATGACCTCTGTTTCTAGAAAATGTACAAGAATTGAAGAGAATTCGTTTGAGGTCAGCTGTCCTTCAGCCTCATTCCATAGATAGCAGTAAACCTCTTTGGTTTTTAAGTTATAAATTGTATAATTATGCACGATAAGTTTAGTTTTGTAGTACATATTTGACACATTGGTTTTTGGGCTCAGTAGAACAGATTGTAAATCTACAGCAAACACAACTGCATCGCTGGATAGCTTATCTGCGGCCTTTTCTGCCCTAGCTTCTTCTTTTAATTCTTGATGTAGCTTATAGTTTTCTGCATTAACATTAGATGTGCGGTAACCGACACAAACATCGCACTCATCCTTTTTTGGACAAAAAAGCGAAAGATTAGGTTCTTTAAGTGTTGTATCAAACTTTGCCTGTGAAACTGGTTGTACCTTATTCTCTATGGAGTACTTAGACTTATAAAATTTGTAAAGAGACGCTTTTGAAATCCACAGCGGCTCCAGATATACTTTCTTACTGGTTGCTCTGCAGTAATGACTTTCCATCTTTGCAAGACTGCCGAAAAACTGTAAAACTCCAGTATTAGATGATTCCAGTTTAGCCTGTTTAACGATGCCTATTCTGTTTATCGGTGGACCTTCTGTTATCTCAGTACTTTCTATGTTTTCTAAATGTTCCTTAACCCACTCAACCACAGTTCTTCCCTTCAGTCCTAAGGTAGCGACAAACATATTCTTGCAAACCATAACATCCTCTAGACCGTTTTTCAAAGTATATGTCATCGAATAATTTCTACGGGAAATATCATTGGTTCCCCGTCTTCTCTTAACTTTATCGATCTTCACGAAACCTTTCACAAACATTTTTTTCTCAGTCCAGGACATTTTATTCCAAAATGTATTAAAAATCTTTCGCCTTCGCTCTTCCCCAATGGTACTACATTTAAACTTTGTTTCCCCCTTCTTTCCCCTCTTGCAGTGACATGGATCAGCTAAAAACCTACTGGGCCTCGGTCGGTCATATGTCCAACCTTCTGGTTGTTTCTTTTTGCCTTTATACTGCACTCCCTTTTCCCTCTTCCTCTGGTTAATCTTCTGATCCCAGTCCCTCAGATAATTTTTAACGTTTGATCTTCTTCTTACTGTTATTTCACTGATCGTGTTGGGATTTTCTGTAGTTTTCGCGATTATTTCCATATTATTTTCCACTGTGTTCAGGTGACTTTCAATTTCCTGCTCATTATCGTCTTCTTTTCGTACCTCAAAAGCGTTAGATTTTTCTGCCGCATTACTGATTTCTTCCTCCAAAATCTGAAGATTTTCATCGACAATTTCTAAAATCTGCTCGTCAGACATTACGCACAATGCTGAAATGTCATTTTCTAGAATCAGTCGACTCGTATCAGAAATATTGCTTGTTTCTAACGAAACAGTTGTGTCAACACCGAGTTCTACGTGGTTATCTATGGTTAAATCCATATCCGTATTCTGAACTGTATTATCTCCTAGAGGAGTGTTTTTCGCCATGAGAACCATCTGCATGGCTCGAGAAACAGGTCTGCATCTGAAATTAAGCAGAAAATTAATTATGATCTCAAAAACTTTCTGTATTTGATTTCACTACAGTAAGCTCATAATATTGCCTAACTCCTTCAAAAATGTTCATAGAAAACTGCCTAACTCCATATCAATCTATAATAATATAATTTAGTCAGTTCTAGTACTATTATTATAATAAAAATGTATGCAAACTACTTACCTCTCATTCATGTTGACATTTGGAGTAAACAATCGAGTCGAAAAAACTGATTTTCCTGATAAAAACAACGGACAGCCTTGATCGATCAAGAAATAACATAAAACTGTCGGAGATAGGCTGTTTTCCCGCCGTTTTTGCGCGCACGGAGATAGGCATATTTCTGTTTAGGTTATTGTACGGCTGTAGATTTTTCTACGAACATACTGTTTGGTAGGTGAATGAACGGTGCCGTTCTCTAACAGATGGAGCTAAAATGTGAATTTGTGGAAAAAGTGGAGTTAGGCAGTTTTCTTATTAGGGCGACGATGTGAAATCATTCAAAAATTTCAGGTCTCGTGTATACGAGGGACACTAGGAAAAAACTCATCATATTTCCCAAAATTCTGGATTAAATTTGTTTTCAAAAGAGTACTTCATATGTGTGTAAGATGGATGAAAAGATGGATTGTATGACGATATATTAATACTTACTGTTGCTGTCAGAAATTGTTCCAATTAACAGGATAAATAATTGGAATTACGTTTTAATTTTGGAAGGATGTTAGATCAACTGGAATATGTAGTCGTTCTAACTTTTTGCAATTCAACAAACAAGGATAAATGACACTGAGCTGCTTAACACGAGCCTTTTTATTCACACAATGATCTGTCATGTAAATGTTCAACATCTCTAAAATTAGACGTTTTGAGAGTTGTTGTTCCTTGTCAAGAACTCTAATACTGCCATAACTCATGGAATGACCTGTGGTGTTAACATGTGATGCCAAAGCACATCTCTCTGGATGTAATCTGGCGTCACTTTTGTGTGAGGTTATCCTGCGTTTCAGTGATCTCGATGTTTGGCCTATGTAAACTAAATTACTGTTATTACAATTGATGCGATAGACAGTGTTGGTTGATTCAAGCAGCTGAACCCTATCCTTTATTTTGGAAAACACACTGTTGACTGTGAGAACTGATTTAAAAGCAAAATGACAATTTAAGGAATTATACAGCCTGATCAGTTTTGGAGTCAATTCTTTGATGTATAGCAAGACAACATAATTAACTCTGGCATTAGAAGCATGATCCATAGTGTTAGAATTCTCATTAGCTAAATAATTAATAGGCGTCGGGTTGGACAAGACAGTGTTCTCATTGTCCATATTGCTATTTGCAATTGGCAAAATATATGGGAGGAGAGCTGAACAGGGTTCTGTTAATTAAATACTTCGGATAACCATTATTAATGAATAAAATTGAAAGCTTTTTTAAATTGGAAAGATGGAAAGTATTGTCAGAGATTTTTATTACCCTGTTCTTAATTTTTTTCACCAGATTTATCTTTATTTTAAGTTCATGGTAAGACCTGAAGTTCAGAAACCTTCCAGAGGAAATTGGTTTCCTGTACTTGTCTACCAGTAACATCTGGTGCGAACTAGTCTTGAGTCCAAAAAGGGAACTGATTGCTTAGCATCTTCTTTTTCGATGGTGAACTGAATGTAGGGATCATAGCTGTTGAAAACAAACAACAATATCATCCATCCCTTCATAAGGAAGACACACGATAATATCGTCCACATATTTTTTTAGAAAGATTAGATTATATGGCAATACCTAGCAATATCAAGTAGGTCATCCATCACATATTCTGCCAAAATTGGAGATAACACTAAGCCCATGGGGCAACCATGTGTTTGTGAGAGAACTTTGAAATCATTGTTCTGGAAAACGTACTCTAAGATATTAACGAAAGAATCCAGAGTTACATTGCTGTGTTGGCATATTTGAGCACAATGCTTGTCTATGGATCTAATGCAAGCTTCCAGATAAATACTACTGAAATGTGAGACTACATCTTGACTAGCAATGACATGATTGACACCTATTAAATTGTTGACAAACTTCAAACCAGTCTTTTATATAGTATTCTCCTTTGATGTGAGCTGACTTTGAAGTATTGCAATTAATGAGGATATATATATATATATATATATATATATATATATATATATATATTCCATCATTTTATATTCAGCTTCTAGACATTTGAAGAGCATCGTGTGTAGGCGAACCATCTAATAAGCAATTGCTATTGCACAGTAGCTACAGATCCGCCGCACCGATACGCATGCCAAATTCCTTTGGCAGCACCCCTTCCGATATATTACGACTGCCGTAGAGGTTCAGCCTGCCAAAACAAGAAGGTGTTTAGATACACAATCCTTTTCTGCCATTGGAATCCAATCGATATTTCGTCTCATTTCCAAGAGCCTCCAGAATATATTGCTTTGCTCGCGAACTTTCCCCAATACCAAAGGATCTACTTACACAGACAGAATGCATCATAACTCACTTGATTTTCACACAAAATGATTATTAGGAGCTTTCCACTGACAGATTTATTAATGTAAGCGCCAACATGCGCAGCAGCTTGGTTAGCCTGTGCAAAGAAGCCCAGGGCTAGAGCGTGGAACGGGATTGAAAGCTTGAGGTGGAACGTTGACAAGGTGTAATACAAAATAGCAAATTGTGTTCGGCGTTTCGTGTTTCGCTTCCAAAAATCCTTACTAAGATTGGACATGAGGAAGTATGAATGTTTGTTACTCAATCATGCCAAAGCTGCCGAATGACCGGAATTTGGTTCACAGATAGATCATAGCCTGGAATAGCACATAAGGAAAATAACTTAGAAATACAGCTTGTTTCGGATTCGCTTCTCTATACAGGGATCTCGGCTCCTGTTACACCTACAGCAAGAGTAAATGGGGAAAGTTTCAGAGGAGACTTAGTGTTCTCGATAGCCGGCTTTAGACTTTCGATCGTTTAATTGGTTTTGAAAATATCAGCGAAAAACCGAAAATGACGGAATTCGTTTTTTGCCAGTAAATCCAAAGCGGTTAATTTGACAGCTGTCAAAATGTGACATTATACGGACATTTTTTTTAAGAAAAATAAGATATCATGTATGACATGTCGCAATCATCCTTTGTTTTCCAGCAGCCCGCCACAACTTTCATTTTTCTTATAACCGCCATATTGGATTTTTTGATTTTTGGAAATAGTGTGATATTTCCATTCTAGTGATATCTCCCAAGTGGATAAAAGATTGGAGTATCACCGAAATATCATCACACGTAATGTTATGTATTAGTATTAGTATATTAATTTTTTAATCCTTTGAATTATTTAACGCCAAAGTCAGAGCCTCCTTAGATGAAAAAACGCGTTATCTACTAATTTTATTTTCTGACAAAGAAGTCATGACCTCCAGAAAACAATTAATACATAACATTACGTGTGATGATATTTCGATGATACTCCAATCTTTTATGCACTTGGGAGACATCACTAGGCTGGAAATTTTACGCTGTCTTAAAAAATCGAAAAACCCAATACGGCGGGCATGAGAAAAATTTATTATTTGCCTTAAAAAAATGTCCGACTAATGTCACATTTTGACAGCTGCCAAATTAACCGTTTCGGATTTACTGGCAATAACCAACATTCAATATTTTCCAAAACCAATTGAGTGATCGTAAATCTGAAGCCCGCTATCGACAGCTCTAAGTTTCCTCTAAAACTTCCCTCGTTTAACCTTTGCTGTAGGCACAACAGGAGCCGAGATCTCTATATATGAGATGGGAATCTGGGACACTGTACATACTTCACAGCCCAAATGGATTAGGCGGAAGCGCTCAGTCACAGGTCGACTAGCATTTCGACATTCGTTTTCTTAGCGTGAACGTCTTGATTTAGATTTGTTCGGTATTTTTTTTCTTCAAGTATAGCACTTGGAATAAATAGTTATTGGGTTAGGATATGTTAAGATATGCCGCATAGACTGTGAGGTACTTCACGTATTATTTTTTGAGATTCCGGTTACACATTTGATATTAAATTATTGTTGCTTTTAAACGTTAAATGGACATTGTTTGTCAATTTCCAAAGTAACTATTGCATTACTTTGGATTTACCATTTCTTTCATCGAAACCACTAACGTAAAACGATGATCTATACTTTACACTACTCCCGGAGCCGACGGCTTAGGCTAGTTGAATAATGTATGAGGTTTTCCATTTAAAATGAGCAAGTTGGTATCTAACTTCTGCTAGAACCGGAAGTGCCACGACCTTGGAAATATTTTAGCTAAATTGCTTCCAATAGTTATATTATAGGTCCACATTTTCATAACTGCCTTGCCATTTCAAATAATCGATCGCGTAAGTAGTATTATTTGATCCTTGGAAAGTTTTGCGGACCGTGGGAAAAAGCGGTATGTGTGGAGTATACAGGCTAGAGGGTATTTGAAAAGAGAAATCGTACGAAACGTAGATATTTTGTGATTGGGTTTTCAGTCAAAATTAAGCCGAAAGCATAATAAAGAAATGAAATTAAACATGTATCTTGTAAGCTGGAAGAATACGACCCTAGATGAGTGCCTTTAGTTATTAATGAACGTCTGTATATTATATATAGTTTCATTTGAACCATGGGTTTTTGGAAGATCACTGCCAAAGTAAAATAAATCAGCATGTTCTTGCTTTCAAATGTCACACGAAATATAGCGTGCCTCAAGGTAACTAGTCAATCGCTAAGGTTCATATAGAATACAAAGGAATGGTGTGATAAGTTCCTAAAACATGTGACATGGCCCCTTTGAAAGACAGAACTTTTTCTTGGCCAACTTTTGAGCAACACTCCTACGATATTTTGATAGCACAGTAACCAGTTAATGTATTACTCGACAGCTTCCAAGGAAAACAATTAGTAGCCCTGAAATAATTTTCGGTAATCTTTGTTTACATACTAATGGCTCAAAGCAGATATTTCCTGGATCCCAATGCTTCAAAAAAAACTGTTTCTGTTTGAATTTTAGCTAAAAACGAAAAATATATTTTTCGAACCACATTGCCTTAGAGATAATCCCTCCCTGACGATATAAATGATTTGTATTCTACGTACATCATTGTAGGAGCCCCAGTGTCAAAATTTCGTTTAATGCATCGTCCTGAAAACCAAGTCTCAAATTTGGGAGCATGTATTTCCGTGAGGGCGCAATTGATAATTTTTTGCTTATATTCGTTTATAATAATCGATTATATAAATTACTCATTTTAATTGATTTTTGTAAACAGGGCGATCTGTAC